CGCTCTTCACGAGTTGTGTGAATCCGCTTATGATTTGCGGGATTTCTGTCGGACTCGGAGGAGTCAACTCAACCTTCGCGTACCGAACAAATGTCCTCAGCTTTGGCTTCGATACTATACAAGCGATTAATGGTTAGATTAGGGTTACATTGAGGCCATCATTGAGGCCATCATTGAGGCCATCATTGAGGCCACCATCGCTTCAATCACTTACACTCAACCAGAACTGGGATCTGTTGGGAGATCTTCGCCACGAGTGAGGGTTTAGTCGCCATCTTATCACTGCTTTTCAATTCCTATCACTTTCTGGCCATAAATAACGCTAAACTCGACGATAGGGGAGAAGTGAATGATCCCCTCATATCATATTTCTATACAGTTCTATACGTTATGTAATTTCGCATAAAGTTTGTAAAGTTTTAGTAAATGATAATTATTTGATATTAATATCAATGATATAATTGAATACTTTAGGGTATATATAATATATTGCAATAATGCGGGCATTTATAACATATGCAACACTTGATGTGAGTCCAGTCTGAAGAGTAAATCACTACAATCTGATGTCAGATCAGTGGTGAAGACAAGCGGTTCTCTTCATTTAACCGGTAAATAAAGTTATGCTTTTTTGGGTAAATTATGTGATCAACGCTTCCTCTATTCGTTAACACAATACCATTGTTAGTATTGTTGTATAAATGAATTCTTTGACACGTTTATGAAAAATAAATTTACTTTTTAATATTTAATAAATTTTAATACAAGGATTTCATATAAAATACACCAAAAAAATATTTTAAAACATTTTGTATTCAATAAAAATGGCATAAAATTTGTATAAAAATGTATAATTTAAATATAAAACTCGTTACAAAAGGCACATAAATTGCAATTTAAGTATTTTAATTATTAAGTTAATTGAGATCTCGATGAATAGTATATTAACTTATATTTATTTTATATATTAATACACTATAGGCTTGGAATGGATTTGAAGAGTGAATACAAAACATTAAATGTCTTTTGATGTGATTTAATGAGCAAATAATGCCTAAGAATTCATTCAAGGATTTACATGTAATTGTATATTAAATATCATTATTTCGATGATTTTATGTACAAATGAGATGATAATAATGTGGTAACTAATGGAATGAATGATGGAATGATGTGATACACGACTAAATCACTTTACAATTAATGTCTTATTTTGATGTTGTATTGACTTATTTTGGCCTAAATTTACTCAATTATCTTATGAAATGCTTTGGCATTTTGAGCAATAAATCCAATCAATAATTTACAAAAAAAACTATTAAAATAACAATTAATTTAAACAATTATTTCTCTAATGACTCTTCCGTTTCGATTCGTCGAATATTCCATCTCTTCTTCATAAGGAATGTGATTCATATTTGACGGATCCATAGTTGGCATTAGATTTGGATCATTCATATTAGAGATCGGATCGTTCATCATTTCCATACCCATTGCTGTGCCGTAAGGATTGGCACCCATTTCCTCATAATATCCAACTTCTGTTCACAAATAATCGACATTTAGTTCAAACTTTTCC